TAGAGCCACTAGAGCTAGAATCTACGGCGATTCTGTTAGTTGTTGCTTCATGATACGGTTTCCTCTCCCTCCCTTTTTTTTTTCTTTTCTTTTCTTATTTATCTTTTCTTCTTTTTACTTTCTCTGTTGCTGTTCTGAACATTGCGTGGGTAATACATAAAACGGCCAGGCGTTTTGTCGAAAGCTTTTTCAGTTGGGAAGGTTTTACTTTTTTCAGCATTTCTCATTTCTGTTTTATGGTAACTAAAGTTAATCTAGGTGTTTGTTTTTTCTCCTATTTATTATTTTCTATCCGACTGTTTTTTCTTTGTTTCTATTTTATTGCAATTGTTTACAGTTACAAAAGCCCATCCAAATATGCTATTCCTAGTCCAATGATCCAATGCCCACCATATGATGCCACCTTAGTAACACCTCTGAATATCATAATTGTTATTATTATTGTGGCTATTAATTTCATCTTTACTATTATTACTATTGCCTCTAAGGAGCAATGCGACACCTGGGGACTTCTAACTAAACTATTCGGAGTATTGTGTTGAAACACAGGTAAATAGGTATCTGTGTCGTTTATACTTTTTGCAGGCCAGAATGATTTAAGTATACACTTACGTATACATGTACTAATGTGTGCCGCGACGCAGCACCAATTATATTAAGCCAATTATTATTGGCTTATCGGGTACTTTGTCACTCTTCCTCTTATTATTCTTAACTCCTTTACCCTATCCACAATATCTAGGTACAGATCCTTAGCTGTTTGTTTTAAACAACATTCCCCAAGCATTTTCACCTAAATCTGATCCATTTTAGATTTTCCGGGATTAAACAAACGAAAATATATAGAACATAATATATATATATATATATATATAATATATATATATATATATATTTATATTTATATATATAATATAGTATATATATATATATATATATATGTGTGTGTGTGTGTGTGTGTGCGTGTGTGTGTGTATATATATATGTGTATGTGTGTGTGTGTGTGTGTGTGTGTGTGTGTGTGTGTGTGTGTGTGTGTGTGTCTGTATGTGTGTGTGTGTTTGTATGTATATATGATATAAAAAGTTATCAAAATATTTCGGTTATAAGTACATTGTTTAAAGGGAAACTACAGTCAAGCACTCAAACAGCCCCATCGGAAAATTCTAATTTCACACCTTTGTTTATACCAAATCTCACTGCTAGGGTCCTCAGAGCGACTAGGCTCATTACATAGAGGTTTATTTTAACCAGAAACAGGACGAATATGTGACAGCTCTGAGGTAAACATATACTCCCTCTGAATGTTCATGTGAAACTACATACTTAAGTGGCTACCGAGCCTATGTTCTAATTGCCAACAGCTCTGCACTCTCCCAGACTAACACCAATTCACCTAGACTCATAACACATGATTTCATTGGAAATTCGTCTTTATTCTATGCGCATAGAAAGTCCCAACCTGCACACCCATCCCAGTGGGTTAAGACCTTATTATTGTGTTTGTACACTTCTTTAGCGTTCACAAGTCAACCTGAAAAGCAGAGCTTACGTTTGTTAGTGTGTTTGTATTCTTGTTGCACAACTGGCCGTTACGAATAGTGAACAGTGAGAGCCAGAATGAATAATTCCATTTAAGCGGTGCCAGCATTTAAATTATACGCTTTGGTGAAATTTTGGATTGGGGAATATTTCTAGATGAACGAACATTTGAAAACCAGTCTTGAAAAGACTATATTTTGGCTATACCCCCCAGTACCGCGGACCCCCTTAATAGTAAGTACTATTACTATCAGTAGTAAGGTTACTATTATTTATATTGTTGCTGTTATTTTTTTCACAATTACTAAACATCTCCTAATGCTTCTTCAAAAATGATGATACTGTTACTGATTTCTTTACTATTGGTAGACTATGTTATCAATATTGTCATTACTATAGGAGCAGCAGTACTGGCATTATGGTCTATCATCATGAAATTGTTTTTGTTTTTTATTACTATTTTATTATTATTGTCATTGTTAGTAGTAGTAGTAGTAGAAAAATAAAAATAATAATGATGATGATGATGATAATAATAAGGAAAAGTCGGGTATTTTGTCACTTTTCATCTTATTACTCTTATCTCTTTTATCCTATCCGCAATATCTAGGTAGAGGTCAGCTAAGCTGTTTTAAACAACAATATCCCCAGGCATTTTCATCTAAATCTGATTAACTTAGATTTTCAGTGATTAAACAAACAAAAAATGTATAGAACAGGTATATTATCAATAAAAAGTTAGAAAGCCATGTTTCTGCCATATATAGTATATATTTTATATATATATATGTGTGTGTGTGTGTGTGTGTGTGTGTGTGTTGTGTGTGGTGTGTGTGTGTATGGGGGGGGGGGGGGAGAGGGAAGAAAGAGGAGAAAAAGAAGGGGGGGAGGGGGGGGGGGGGGGGGGGGTGTGTGTGGGTGTGTGTGTGTGTATGGATATATATATATATATATAATA